CTCGCTATTGCTCAGGTTTTCTACAAACACACACCGTTTTAGAGCACTCTGACGCTGCACCAGCTGGCTAGGCCCTGCTTGTTCCAGCAGCCCAAACACCAAGGGCAGGGCTGGGCACAGCAGTGAGTGAATCAACAAGGGTGTCCTTCAAACCCCAGAGAGGCAGGGCATCCATGCGAACCACAGGACATAGAGCAGAGCCATGGAAGGCATGGTTTGGGACCAGGTTTCCCCATGCGCAAGCTCGGATCCATCACTGACATCGTTGTGCACAGCCCAGGCACGTAGTCTCCTCAGGCACAGCCTCTGCACTGAAGACATGGTGCCCACCTTGACTGCTCAGGGAGGGTGACATGGACCATGAGCATTAAGTGTCTGGTGCATCAGGAGGCATGACAAATGTTGCTTCTCTCACACTGCCTTCTTCAAGCTCTTTCTCAGCCTGAGCTGAGTCCTTGTCCTCAAGGAATGCTCAGGCCACTGGGGCTAGGGAGAAGGCCCATCAGGGTTGGTCTCCCCACAGTGCCTACTAGGTACTGCGCCACATCACACCAAGTAAATGACACCATCCTCCCAACGGCCACACTCTGCACACACTGTCCCTCCACACGATATACTCTTCCTTGCATGTCACCAAACTCCTAATGACCATCTCAGGCTCAGCCCTGAGACCACCACCATTACCTAGCCTTCCTCTGGGCTCCCACAGCCTCTATGCAGACTCCAAATCTCAAAGCATGTGCCTCCCTGTGCCATAAATTATCTGCTTATGTGTCTGTCACCCCATAGGCTCTGACAGAGCCCTGAGGGTGTCCTTCATCTTGTGTCTCTTGTGCTCATAGGAGCCTGGGCATGCAGGAAGCCCTCTATAAATGCTGGCTCAGCAGGCTTTCTCACTCAATGCTTACAGGGAGTGCATTCACCCAGTAAACACTTAGAGCTCTGGCTAGATAGTACAGAGCCCATGACCCTGGCTGGCTGGGAGAGCTGGGGAAAGGGATCATGGCATGAGACCCTGTTGGGAGTACTTGTTTGTGCCTCTGTCTTTTTCTTCCATTCTCATGAAGAAAGAAATAAAAACTAAACAAACAAACAAAACCTATTAAGCAATCATTGCGGAGGCTCCCCTCTGGGCCAAGTGCTCTTCTAGGTGCTGAACACAGGTATGGATGAGGACAAACAAGGTTCTGCCCACAGAAGACATGAGGGTGCCAGAGACAGTGCATAATTCTAAGGAGGTTTGACCGGGGAACATGCTAGCAAGACCAGACCTGGGATGCCCTCTCTGAGCCCGCCAGGTCCACCATGAAGAGCCTCCCAACACGCACTTCCTCTGCCAGCTCCACACCACGGCTCTGTTGGCGCACAGTGACCTGCAGCACGGCATGGGAGCGGGACGAGGTCTTGTTGGTAGCTGTGGGCTCCTGTGTGCGCTGCCGGTTGCCTTTGGTGAGGAGCTGCATGATCTGAGGACAGAGGCAGAAGCAGGTAGGTGGTTAAGGGCCTCTTGAGGGGCCATGCCCCTCCAGAAATAGCCAGGAGATGGGAGGCGGGGTGGGGACTCCAGAGCTATGTTTATGGCAGAGCCTTGTCAGGGGGAAAAGATTTCTGGTTTGCAGTATGAGGTGGTTAATTAATCAAACCAATTCACTGAACAGGACTAGCAGATTCCTGAGTCTCGTGCTGCTCCCTCTCTTTGTGCTGATGCCTATGGCAGACATCACCAGTGGATTACCCACCTCTTTTCTACAGGATTGAAGGCTGCCTCCAAGCCATGTTTAATATAGAGTTCCAGGCAGTCATATGGATTCACTGGAGTTGGCAGGTGGGCTGAAACCCACTTGCCGTGCAAGCAGCTGTGGATGGATCAAGCCAATGAGCCAAGCCTCTGCTAAGTGCTTACTTGTACTGAACTCATGCTAGGACTACAGAGTATGTATATAGAGAGAACTGATGCAGCCAGTGTTGTTAAAGAAGAGGCAAGGGACCAGCAATTGGTGTAAATGTCACTGGACTCCCACAAAGTCGACCACAGTTTGAGTCCTAGACCTGGTGGCTTAAATTCATGTCAGACGTGTGTGTATGTGTGCCCAAGATCCCAAGAGGAGAATGGAGGAGAGGGGATTATGGCATGACCATCCCCCCTGGGGGGGGGGTGATTTCTCACTTTCTGTCTCTGTCTTTCTGTCTTTCTGGTGAACACACACGCCCTATAGCAAAAACCTCTAAAAAAAAAAAGAAGGAGGCAAGAAGGCTGGGGCTAGCAGGTGGTATATGGTTAAGGCTAAGGCTCTGGACTCTCATGTGGTCTACCATGGTTTAAATCCCAGACCCAGCAGTTTGAAACTCCTATTAGGCATGTGTATGTGTGTGCTTAAAATTCTGAAAGGAGAATGGAGGAGAAACGATTGTAGCATGGGCGTCCTCCCAGAGAATAATTTCTTGCTTTCTCTTTCTCTGTCTCTCTGGTGAGCGCATGCACCCTATAGCAAAAATCTCTCAAAAAGGAAAATGAGGGACCAGCAGTTAGCGTAATGGCTATGTTGCTGGACTCCTATGTAGTCAGTGGCTTAAAACTCACGCCCGGCATGTGTGCGTGCGTGCCCAAGATTCCCAAGAGGAGAATGGATGGAGGAGAAGGGATTGTGGTGTGGCCAGACCCCTGGGGGGGCTGATTTATCACTTTCTGTCTCTCTGTCTGTCTCTGTTTGTGTGGCGAGTGCACATGCCCTATAGCAAAAAAATATCTCTCCAAAAAAAGAAAAAAAGGAAAAAAAGGTCTTTCAGTCCCTCCATAAAGATTGGTGTTCTGGGTTCTCTGAGAGTTGCCAGTGGTTCCATCGCTGCCTTTGCTGCTCTGTGACCTGAACTGACACAGGGATCAGAGAAAGGACACCGGGACACCCCAGAAGCTGGAAATGAATTCAGTGGCCTTGAAGATGTGGTTGTGACCTTTACACAGGAAGAGTGGGCTCTGCTGGATCGTTCCCAGAAGAAACTCTACAGAGATGTGATGTAGGCATTCATGAGGGATCTGGCCTCTACAGGAGAAAAATGGGAAGACCAGAACATTGAAGATGAATATGAAAATCCCAGCCTATGTGAAAGGCACCTAAGAACTGACAAAGCACAGAAAAATGTGAATTTCAGAAATATAAAGCGAAGCTATGTAAACTCTGTAAGCAATGTGTGGATGCCTTCATTTCTCCCTTAACTGTGAGAAGATACCCACAAATGCAAAGTGGAGATGGGCCTTATAAATGTTCAACATGTGGAGAAACCTTCGATTATCTCAATTTAGAATACATGAAAAAAAAACACACCAGAGAGAAACCCTATTAATCATAAGGAATGTGGTAAAACCTTCGATCATTTTTCTTCCATTAGAAACCATGAGAAAAACTGACATTGGAGAGAAACTATATGGATGTAAGGAATGTGGGAAGTCCTTCGCATGTCTAGTGCCTTACGCGCTCATGAACGCACTCACACTGGGGAGAAACCATATAAATGTAAGCAATGCAGGAAAGCCTTTAAGCATCGCAGTGCTGTTCAAAAACATGAAAGAATTCACACTGGAGTGAAACCCTGTGAGTGTAAGGAATGTGAGAAAGCCTTTACTTATCTCAGTTCTTTGAGAAGACATGGAATACTTCACAGTGGAAAGAAACCCTATGAACGTAATCAATGTGGAAAACCCTTCCCTATCTAAGTTTTTTTTTTTTTTTGAGAGATTTTCACTGTAGGGCACGTGCGCTCGCCAGACAGAGAGAGACATAGAGACAGAAAGCGAGAAATCACCCCCCAGGGGTGATGGTCACGCCACAATCCCTTCTCCTCCATTCTCCTCTCGGGATCCTGGGCACGCACGCACACGCGCCCAGCGTGAGTTTTAAGCCACCGGGTCCGGGACACGAACCGTGGTCGACTACGTGGGAGTCCAGCGACATAGCCATTACGCTAACTGCTGGTTCCCCCTATCTAAGTTCTTTATGAAGCCATGAAAGAATACATAGTGGGGAGAAGCCCTATGGTGTAAGGAGTGTGGAAAAACATATTGTAATGTAAAGGCTTTTCGAAACCATTTAGGAACTCACACTGGGGAGAAACCCAATGAACATAAAGAGTGCGGAAAAGTCTTCGGTTGTTACAGGACCTTTCAAGAACATGAAGCTCGCCATACTGGAGAAAACTCATTCGTATGTAAGGAGTGTGGAGAAGCCTTCAGCTTATCCATATCCCTTAGAAGTCATGAAAGAACGCACAGTGGAGAGAAACCCTATGAATGTAAGGAATGTGGGAGAACATTCACTTACTTCACACATTTTTGAAGACACATATAGCGCACATTGGAGATGGACCTTATGAATGTAAGGTATGTGGGGAAGCCTTTGATTGTCCCAGTTCTTTTCTCCAGCATGACAGAACTCAAACTGGAGAGTGTGTCAATGTAAGGGTCGTGGGAAAGCCTTCAGTAGTCTCAGTTCCATGCGAACCCATGAAACCCTATGACTGTCAGGTATGTGGGAGAATGTTCCCTTATCTAGGTGCTTTTCGAATGCATGGAGACCCTGTCAGTGTAACAAGTGTGGAAAAGTGTACTGCTGTGTGAGTACCTTTGAAACTCTGAAAGGACTCACATTGGGGGGAAATTCTATGAATGTAGGGAGGGTGGAAATCTTTCATTTGTCATAGGACCTTTCAAGTAAATTAAACAGCTCATCCTGGAGAAAAGCCATACATACGTAAAAAGTGTGGAAAAGCCTTCAGCGTATCCATGTACCTCCAAAAACATGGAAGAATTGATACGAGATACTAGAGAAACCCTAAACAATGTGGAATAGCTTTCATAATACAATCTTTCTGCTATGGAGGATGATACATAGTGAAGAGAATGTCTACTGATGTAAAAGTGTGAAAAATTAATAATCATTAAGAAAAAAAAAGACTAAACCCATAGCCTACTGTTTGATGGAACCAGGTCTCATGTGGCCAACCATGGCTCGAATTCCTGGCAAGGCACTAGAAAACAACATCAAGTACATGTGTGTGCCCCAAATCCTGACAGGAGGGGAAAATGGGAGGAAAAGGGATTGTGGTGTGATCAAGCCCTATTAGGGGCAGGAGGGTGTACCCCCCTTCCCCCCCACCCTGATCTTACTGTGCCAAACAATTGCACCCTCTGGCAATAATAAACAGAAAAATGTGGAAAGGTTTTTATTTTCACATGACCTTTACTACATAGTGTAATAAATAGCAAAGAGTACTCGTATTAACATTACGGAATTGAAAAATCCTTTTGTCTTTCCATTTAAAGAAAATATGAGAAGAAACTTTTTTTTAAGAGATTTTTGCTATAGGGTGCATGCGCCCTCCAGAGAGACAGATACATGGAAAGTGAGAAACCACTCCCCAGGGGCAATGACCATGCCGCAATCCCTTCTCACCCATTCTCCTCTTGGGATTTTGGGTATGCATGCACATGCGCCTGGCATGACTTAAGCTGCCCAGTCCAGGACACGAACCACGATCCACTATGTGGGAGTCCAGCGATGTAATCATTACACTATCTGCTGGTTCCAAGAGAAGCTTCTTAAAATTAAGCAATGTACATGGACACTGGGCTGCAGGTAGCCCCAATGTAAGCATGAACACTGGATTTAACTGTGTAGTATTGAAAAATACAAGATTATTTTAGATTAAAAAAAATACTTCCAAAGCCATGTGAAAACTTCTCATGTAAAGGGAACCCATACACATAAGTAATGTGCATGGTGTCATAGAAAGATTTGTTTAGGATGCTCATGAAGATTCATAGCATAAAATAAATGTTATAAAAGTTTGGGAAAAAAAAAAAAAGAAAAGAGAGGCAAGAAGTCTGCCTTCTATCCCAAGGCCACAAGAAGCGGAACTCAGGGTGTGGGGGTACTGGCACCCGGGCCAGCACGGCTGGAGCACATGGACATCAAGGTTGAGCCTCAGGCATCCATGCTGATTCTGGAGGCAGTAAAGAGCCACTGAAGATCCTGTGAGCAGGCAGGAGGCCCACCCAGATCTGTTTGAAGATGCCCACCCTGAGGGCAGGGTCAGGAGTATGCTGGCATGGAGGCAGACTGGAGGTAGATAATAAAGACAGGGGGCTGTAAGAATGTTTACAACTTGTGCTCATCAAGAAAGGGAACATTAGGAGCAAGAGTGGCAGATAGACTTCAGACCTAGGCCAATTCTGATTGGTCATGACCGCTGGAAGTGCTGGGTTGAAAAGGATCCTGAGCCTGCACCTGGAGGCAGAGGGAAGAGTGTGTGATTGATTAGTGGTCTGTCCTGAGCATAGGTTAGGAGGGTAGAGATATGGAAGTAGATATTAGCCTCTCAGATCAAGTCCAGATGCTTGAAAATAACTGGAGCTGCATGTCTGTTTCTGCTCAGTGACCTTGAGAGAGAAGGGCTTTGTGAGCTCTGGGGTGTGTGACTGCCATGGATCAACCACGTCCCCCAGCCACAACTGTGAGCCCCTATGATCCTCACCTCTTGAGCATTGGAAGTGGAGACCTCTGTGATGCCAGCAATCTGGATGCTGCCCTTAGAGTCTTCCCTCAGTTCTAGAAACCCTGAGGATGGGTTTAGGAGGTCCCGGATCACTTCATTATAAATCTGCAGTGGGACAGAAAGGTAGGGAGCAAAGTACAAAAGAACTACAAGGGTTTACACACCACTGGGGTTTTGAGCCCTCTGCCTGAGAGCTGAGACTGTCCGCAAGACCAGTTGGCATTTGGGGGGTAAAATACAGCGCTGAGGACTTTACACACACAGTTGTGTTTAGTTAGTGCAATCACACCTATTTTGCAGACAAGGCAACTGAGGCAGGTGGGCAGGCTCACCTCTAGGTAAGACATGGACACACTGTAGTCCATATTATCACGGGTCTCCTCGATGGCTTGGAAGAGGTCAGTGAGGGTCTGCAGGTAAATACCGGGCTCTGCGTCCATGCCCAGCATGGTGTGGGTCTTCCCTGCACCTGCAAGAGGAGTAGAGATAGCCAACAAGCTAAGGGGACTCTTGAGGTGGGGTCAGATGCCCCCATATGGAAGCACTGGCCATTAAAAGACAGATAAAGCCAACTGGCAGTAGCTCACACCTGCTGCCTTACGGTGCAGCAGTCCCAGCTGCTCCAACACACTCATTTTCAGTTTGGAAACAAACGACCCATCTGAGCAGTCTGATAACTATATTGTGGGGGAAAAAGTGGGCCTCAGGGAAAACTGGAAAGATATAAAGCAAAATTGCAGATCAAAGTAGGAAAATTATGAGATTTTTGCCCTCTTCTCCATCATTTCTTTTTAGACATTTGTATTGTTTTTATAAGAGAGGTAACATATCACACTTTTAAAGGAAGCCTCTCTCTATAGGGGATGCCTCACTTTCCCCTTTCCTATTTGCTCACATAGGCAAGGACCAGGTTGCTCTCTCTCTCTCTCTCTCTGCTAAAGCCTGGAAGCTAGTAGGTGCTTATTCATTCACATTTGTTGAATGAATGAAACAGATAAATAAGCTTTAAAATTGGGCAAGGTGATGCTTAGGGCCTTGGCTTCTCCAGTTGCACAATGATAAGGTTAGGGCTGGGCTGTTCAGCTCTGACCCTGTGTGCCTCTAGTTTTGAGGAATAAGAGAAGTAGCTTAGTTTTGCGAATATTTTTCAGGCCCAAATTGTACTTGCAGAGAAGAAATCTGTGGGTTCTCATGGACAGCACAGCATAGACTTGAGTCGAATTCCAGAATCATTCCTAATAGGTGGATGACTTTGGGAAGGGCTTAGTTTGCTCACTTGTGAAAAGGGGATCAGTCTACCTGCCTTCCAGGGCTCCTGAAAGGAGGGAAACAGCCAACAGATGCAGACAGCCCAGCACATAGTAGCTGCTTCCTGTTGTTAAGAGCTCTACTGCCGGTGACCCCATCCCTCCTGGGGACAATGCACTCGATGGTACCTGAGGGGCCATAGGCAAACACCGTTGCATTGTATCCAGAAATGACGCCTTCCACTAAATGCTGGATGGTGGCACAATACACGTCTTCCTGTGGACAGAAAGACAGACAATCAAGTGGACAGCCAATCCAGAGTGAGGGGAGCTAGATGTCTGGAGAAGTTTAGTGTGTGGAGTCTGCAAATGCTCTGCTCCCTTTGGACATGCTCAGGACTTACAGGAGTAAGGGAAGGGAGGGATTCTGGAAAGAGCTTGGGCATTGGGTATTCCTGGGCTCCACTCCCAGTCCTGTGGCACTGGCTGTCTCAGTTGACTTGGCAGGCTGGATTTCTCATTTCTTTCTCTCTTCCTCTTTCTTTTTAAGAAAGACCTTTGCAATAGGGCACGTGCACTTGCCAGCGAGACAGAAAGTGAGAAGTCATCCCCTGGGGGGATGTCCATACTGAAATCCCTTCTCCTCCATTCTCCTCTTGAGATTTTGGGCATACATGTTCATACATGAGTTTAAAGCCACCAGCTTTGGGATTCAAACCGCGGTCAACTACGTGGGAGTCCAGCAACCATTACTCCAACTGCTGGTCCCTTGGAAGGTTGGTTTTAAGAAAGGATTAAATGAGAAGGTGTGTAATAGCTCCCACCATGGGGCCTGATGCATTGGACACTAAATGTATATGCATCTCTTCCAGGGCCTCTGCAAGAATTGAGAGAAAACAAAAAGAATGCCAAAACTGGAAGACAGCAACAAGTCTCTAAAGAGCATCATGACTCCTCTTTATGGAACAAAACTGGGATCAAAGAATGAAAGTTTGGGGCTGGCAGAATTTGATGTAAACAATATCCACCAATAAAAGTGTGAGGATAATGAGCTCCCTGACTGCAGGGGTACTTAAGAACGGCCACCTCCAGAGCTGGTGCATGAGGGTGTGGCGATTCAGTGGGCTTCCTCAGTATTTTCCAGGTGCTCACTCTGGGCTTTGCTCTTTTTTTTCTTTTGGAGAGGTTTTTTCTATAGGATACGTATACTCACCAGAAAGACAGAGAAAGACAGAGAAACAGAAATCAAGAAATCACCCCCTCCCAGGGGGGGATGGCCACACTGCAATCCCTTTTCCATTCTCCTCTTGGGGTCTTGGGCATACATGCACACATGCTCGGCGTGAGTTTAAGCCACCGGGTCTGGGTCTCAAACTGCGGTCGACTACATGGGAGTCCAGCAACATACACTTTACGCCAACTGCTGGTCCCAGGCTTTGCTCTTCATCTCACTCATCTGTCCCCCACAGCCCTGGCTGTGTACAGTTTGTAGATAGCAGGGGCAATGTCTGAGCCCAGGTTGGACAGACCCCAAAGTCCAACTCTCCTCTAGCTTTGGCCTTAGACAGTCTGAGATGGAGCCCTGGTTTTGCAGCTTTCTAGCTGTGTGACCTCAAGCAGGTTATTGGCCTCCTTAAGTCTGTTTCCTCACTTGGAGAATGAGGATAATATTGCTATGTGAGAGTGCTGCTGTGCGAGCTGGGAAATAATGCAGATCACACACACACACCTTTTTAATTTTTTTTTCCTGTGGGGTGTGTGTACTGGTGACAGAGAGACAGACAGAGACAAAAAGAGAGGAAAAGAAAGCACTTTCAAGAGGATGGCCACACTGCACTCCCCTCTCCTTCATTCTTCTCTCAGGATTTTGGGCATGCTCACACAGGTACCCAGTGTGCTTTTCATGCTGCTGGATCTAAATTGCATCGCTGACTATGTGGGATCCAGCTGCCTCAACCACCATGCCACCTGCTGGCCCATATGTCAACCCTTTGAGCATAGCACTTGGCATATAGTAAGTGCTCGATAAATGATAATGGTCAATTCCCTTCTACTTTCAATGTCATTGACATCTTGAGAGTAAAAGAAGCTGGTTGCTTGGACGGTAGCTGGAGCTGCCATCTGAGTGAATCTACTCTGGTTTAAAATTACAGTTAAGTACTGAATCAAGAAAGAAATCCTAGTGCCAACAGATGGTCAGTGTGTTCTGAAGAGGTTTTAGTAGTGTGTTCAGAATCCTTCCTGAGTTGCTGTTTAATTTGGGTGCCAGGGTACAGTGGGCAGACAAGATGGGTCTACAGTGGGCAAAGAAGAAAAATAAATTGAGGTGGGGTAAAGATTGCACGAATTCTTTGTCACTTCACTGATACTGAGTCTAATTCTCCTTCCTCTAGTGACTGTCTTGACCAGTGGAGTGTGCAGAAGTGATACCATGCCAGATGTGGGCCAGGCCTCTAAGAGGTCTGGCAGGTCCACTTCTCTCTCAGAATTCTGAGACCACCATGCTGGGAGGAAGCCCAAGACACACAGGATGACACATACGTAGCCAATACCAGAATCTACTGCCGGCCAAGTAAGAGGACCATTGTGGACATCTGGCCCAAGAAAGCCTTCGGGTAACTGAAGCCTCCCAATGTCTGCCTACAACCACAAGGAATCTGCCTAGCAGATCTTGGTCAATCTAGACACTGAAGGATGGTAATCAATGGTTGTTTTAAGCTACCAGCCACAGAGAGATTAGTTCTGCAGCAGTTGATAGCTGGAAAAGAACGGTATACACCTGAGGCCTGGGGCTTCTTAGAAATTGAAGGACTGGTACAGATGCAAGTGGACTCCCTGATTTTTCACTTCTCCATGGGAAAGGACATCATTTTGGTGCAAGGGCTAGAGCAAGCATGGAGTTCCGCATCCTTCATTGGGTTTGTCTTGAGGCCAAACATTCCCTGAACCTCATCACTCTGGTGATGTGACATTCCCTCTCCGGAAGGCCTGGGAGGCCCCAGCTCAGGAGAGTGAGCCTTTCTCACAGGTAAGTGTCAGGTTACCTGACACATCCTTTAGCATTTTGTCCTTAGTGGAGGGTAGTAAGAAGGTTGAAGGAGTGCTACCTGACACAGCCCAAACACCCAGCTCTGGGTCTCACTTCATCTGTGAAATGAGTACCATGACACCTCCACCACACCCCTCTCCTTCCTCTGTTCTTGTGCTTGGCTCTTCCTTCAGGACTTGGAGTAAACGTCCCTCCTCAGAAAGACCCCCCCTCCCCAACCACATTAGGCCTTGTGGGTCTCCACAACAGCATGCGTCACAATGTGCAGTCACAAACATGCTACTGTCTATCTCCCTTGCTGGGATACAAGCCATGGGTTCTGACCACATGGCATGACAGGGCACTGCTTTGTTGAATGAAGGAATGATTGAATGAGCAGATGAATTAATGAATGAAGAAACCTGTGCAAAGCCCCCAGGCCGTGCCCCCACGTCTGTGGAAGGGGCCTCCTGGTACTTGCGCCTGGGATAGGTTTTCTGCCCATGACCTCCATGTTCCCAGAAAGATCCCTGTACAAAGACAGGCATAAGACTGCCCCATCTTCCCAAGGTGGCTCCAGTCCAAGGGAGGGCTGGAGAGGTGGGAGGGGTGGTTGGGCACCTGGGACGCGTGCTGGTCAAACACGGTGTCGAAGATGAAGGTGCGCTCCCGGGACCGGTGTGTGCGTGGCATGTCCTCGGGCTCTTCACCAGGGTCCATGAGCACCAGTACCTTGGGGCAATGAGAGGGGGGTGCTGAGGAGGGCCTGTCAGATCCAGGGCAGGGTCTACACCCCTGAAAGAAATGCAGGCCTGCCACCTGCCCTCAACCACACTCAGAGGCTTAGTCTAGGTCTGAGAAGGGCTGCAGTCCTCTATGCTGGAGCCACGGAAGGGATTTAGGGACTCGATCCACCCCACCCATCCCATCCCACCCCTGGGCCCCTCTTCGTATGTTTTCTGAAGGGGCAGTGTTTCCCACTGTTGCACCACAAAACATGACTGTGAGCTCCCCCAGCCCTGCTGTACACAGCAACCCTCTACTCATGTTCACACCAACGAATATTGGCTGGGTTGAACCCCCACCCAGTGACAGCAGCCCCACTACCACTTAGGTACGGCAGCCTTGGAGAACAACCCCACCCAGCATGACAGGATGACATCAGCAACCCACCTGGCCCCAGCACCCCACTGAGACAGGCCCTGGGTGATGAGGGATGGGAAGGGGCTTTGTAAAATGAGGAGAGCTGAACTGCTGTGCTCCCCCTTGCAACCTGAGTATTTCCATTCCTTGATTCGCTTGCTTGTTGCTTAGGGGAACTGAGAATAAAGTGACCAACCCAAGGTCTCCCAACACTTCTGTTTCTCTGAGAGCCTTGGTCACCCTGGGCACATCTCCCATCTTGTACAAATAAGTAATTATGAAGCAGTACATTAGGGTCTCTGGGGACAGAGAAGTTCAAAAGGACCTTTCCCAGGGAATTGAGGGGAGGGGCAATTGGAAACCATTACATACTCACTGGTTACTATGGTAAGTGGCTCCCTGGCTGGTGGGGGCCTTAGAAGAACAACAGAAATCATGAGGCAAGGAGAGGGGGTGGTTGGGGTATAACGGTTAAGAGCAAGGGCCTGGCCCTGGCCACCTCCTGACCCCTCTCTAGGTTCACAGCTCCCAGGAGGCCAGGGCCTGCCAGAGGTTCTTGGGGAGTCGGTGGTAGGCCTGTCCCTGAGTGCCTGGCTGCTCCTGGCTTTTAGACAGTACTTGCTCCATGCTATTAGGCATCTTCCTTTCCTTTATACTTTTCTTCTGCCAAGGATGGAGGCAATCAAAGGGTGGTCTCATACTCCCTTCCACACAGTCTCCACTGCATGCTCACTGGGTACCAGCCCATGATGCAAGAAGAATCAGATGGGTCCCCAACCAGGAGGCTTCTAGCACAGCATGGGGGGTTTGTGGGGGAAACAGGAGGCCTAATGGTTATCAAGAGCCCCACAGCCTGATTTTCTACCCTGGCTTTACTGCTCAACAGCTGACAGACTTTGGACAAGTTACTTCAACTCTGAGTTTCAGTTTTCTCATCTGTAAAATGGAGGTGATAATGTTGATAGAATCCACCTACAAAAGCAGCTGTGAAGGGTAAATGAGATTACATATCTAGAGCCGAGTCTGACTGTTAATAAAATAGCAGCTGCATTGGATCTTAGACCATAAAAGATTTTTTTCTTTCTTTTGTTATGGAGAACACTGAGGGACCAGCATTTGGTGTAATGGCTATGTCGCCGAACTCCCATGTAGTCAACTGCGGTTCAAGACCCAGACCTGGCAGCTTAAACTCATGCTGGGCATGTATGCATGCATGCCCAAGATCCTGAGAGGAGAATGGAGAAGGGATTGCAGCATGGCCATCCCCCCTGGGGGGTGATTTCTCACTTTCTGTCTCTGTGTCTCTTTCTGTCTTTTTGGCAAGCACACATGCCCTATAGCAAAAATCTCTCCAAAAAAATAAAAGAACACTGAGAAAAATGAACAAAATATGAATGCCCTATAGATGAGGTAATACTGAGTCAATACGAATTTTCTGATTTCTATCACTGTACTGAGACCTTAAGTGCAAGTACTCTTGTTTTTAAGAAATATACACAGGATGTCAGTTGGGGCATGGAGGTCAAAGTGGCTGGATCGCACATGACCAAGTGTGTGGTTTGCGTCCCAGACCTGGCAGCTTGAAAAACACATTAGGTGTTGGTGATGTGTGTGTGCCCAAAATCCTAAGAGGAGAATGGAAGAGAAGGGCCTGCAGTGTGTCGCCGAACTCCCATGTAGTCAACTGCGGTTCAAGACCCAGACCTGGCAGCTTAAACTCATGCTGGGCATGTATGCATGCATGCCCAAGATCCTGAGAGGAGAATGGAGAAGGGATTGCAGCATGGCCATCCCCCCTGGGGGGTGATTTCTCACTTTCTGTCTCTGTGTCTCTTTCTGTCTTTTTGGCAAGCACACATGCCCTATAGCAAAAATCTCTCCAAAAAAATAAAAGAACACTGAGAAAAATGAACAAAATATGAATGCCCTATAGATGAGGTAATACTGAGTCAATACGAATTTTCTGATTTCTATCACTGTACTGAGACCTTAAGTGCAAGTACTCTTGTTTTTAAGAAATATACACAGGATGTCAGTTGGGGCATGGAGGTCAAAGTGGCTGGATCGCACATGACCAAGTGTGTGGTTTGCGTCCCAGACCTGGCAGCTTGAAAAACACATTAGGTGTTGGTGATGTGTGTGTGCCCAAAATCCTAAGAGGAGAATGGAAGAGAAGGGCCTGCAGTGTGACCATCCCCCTTGGCATTTGCTTTCTCACTTTCCCTCTCTCTGTCTCCAGCAAATTCACATGCCCGATAGCAAAATTTCAAAAAGAAAACAAAACAAACTGAGCCAGCCAGCAGTGTACAACGCTCTGCAATGCTGGCATGCTGGCCCCACGGGTGAGGTCCTGGGTTTGCACTTGGGGTCTCCCTGTGCATGCTCAGGGCACACATGTGCCCATGTCCAGTCAGTTGAGACTGGGGGTGAACTGCAGAGTGAAGACCCTGTTTCAGGGAGTGAGAGTGTCTGTCTCTCTCTCTCTTAAAGAGATAAATGAACTTAAAGAAAAAAAAAAAAAGGTGGGCTCGCAGGTGGTGTGGTGATTAAAGAGCTTGACTACCATGTGGCTGACGGTGGTTTGAGTCCTGGAACTGGCAGCTTGCTTTCTCACTTTCCTTCACTCTGGTCAAATTAAAATAACAATAAATAATTCTTTTGTTTGTTTTTGAGAGAGATTTTTGCGATAGGGTGTGTGCACTCACTGGAAAGACAGAGAGACAGAAAGCGAGAAATGACCCCCGGGGGAATGGCCACATTGCAATCCCTTCTCCATTCTCCTTTGAGGATTTTGAGCATGCACATGAATACGCCTGGCATGAGTTTCAAGCCTCTGGGTCCAAGATTTGAAATCTGGTCAACTATGTGGGAGTCCAGTAATGTAACCATTACACCATCTGCTGGTCCCAAATAAAAAAATTCTTTAAAAAAAAGAAGAGGAGCTGGACAGAGGTGAAACACAGAACCCTGGGAGGCTGATCCACATGGGAAGGTCTGGGTTTGTGTCTGGAGGCCTCCCGAAGTACACCAGGCACCTGCATGCCATAATTCAGAGCTGGCTGAGGCTACAGGCAGATCTTGGTGTCAGAATCCTGTTGGGGTGTCTATCTCTTTGTCCCTCTTGCTATCAAAGAAATAAATAAAAAAAAAAAAACCTTAAAGGGACCAGCAGGTGATGTGGTGGTTAAGGTGCTGGACACTCCCACATGGCTGACTACAGTTCAAGTCCTGGACCTGGTAGCTTGCTTTCTCACTTTCCCTCTCTCTCTCTATGTCTCTGTCTCTCTGCCTCTCTCTGGTCAAATTAAAATAAATGAATGAATGAATAAAATAAATATTTTGAAAAAAAACCTTAAAAAAAGAAATACACATTAAAATAATTAGACTTAGAAGATCATTATACCTACAACTTACTATAATGGTCCAGATAAGAAGGAATTTGCATATACTGGGAGAGAGGATAAAGCAAATGGGGAAAACCTTAACATTTAGGAAATCTGGGCACAGGGAAATGGGAGCTCCTTGTAATTGCTCTTGCAACTTTTCGATTAGTCTGAAGTTTCTTCGAAATAAAAGTTAAAGGAAAATGTGGGGGCCAGCAAGTGGCATATTGGTTAAGGTGCTTAGACTCCCACACGGTTGACTGTGGTTCAAGTCCCAGACCTGGTGGCTTGAAAATCATGTCAGGCATATATGTCTGCATGCCCAAAACCCTAAAAGGAGAATGAAGAAGGGATTACGTATGGCATGGCTATTCCTCCAGGAGATGAATCCTCACTTTCCCTCTCATTGTCTCTCTGGTGAGCACACAAGCCTTATAGCAAAAATCCTTAAAAAAAAAAAAAGAGGGACCAGCAGGGGGTATGGTGGGTTGAGGCGCTGGACACTCCCACATGGCTGAACAGGGTTCAAGTCCTGAATCTGGTGGTTTGCTTTCTGTCCCCCTGCTTCTCTCTCCCACTCTCATCCTCTGTCTCACTCTGGTCAAATTAAAAAATAAATGAATAAATAAAATAAATAATAATTATTTTTAAAAAAAGAGAAAAGAAAAAACAGAAAGAACATGTGAGCACACTACAACATGGATCAATCTTCAAAGCATCTTGCTAAGTGAAAGAAACCAGATGAGAAGGGCCACATATTTACATAATTTCATTCCTATGAAAATGTATATAGATAGATTTCATTCCTATGAAAATCTATAGATAGAAAGCAGACTGGTAGTTGCCAAGGGCTGAAGGAAGAGAAGACAGGAAGTGACTGCTAATGGTTGTGGGGTTTTGTTTTGGGGTGATTAAAGATGTTTTACAGGGGGCCAGCAGGTGGCTCGGTGGTTAAGGGTGCTGGACTCCCACATGGCCAACTGTGGTCCAAGTCCTGGACCTGGCAGCTTTCTCTCTCTCTCTCTCTCCCACTCTATCTCTCTCTGGTCAAATAAAGAAATGAATGGAAAATAAAGTTAAAAATAATTTTAAAAAAAAAGATGTTTTGCAACTCAGTAGAAGTGGTGGTTGTACAACACACACAGAGTGGACTAAATACCACTAAACTGTTCCCCTTGAAATGGTGTTTATGTTATATACTTTTTACAAATTATTACATATTTTAAAATTATTTATGTATTTATTCCATGAGAGGGACCCCCAAGGTCTTTACACAATCCACCCCCAGTTTCAGCCAGCCCAGATCATGTGCGTACACACATCCAGTGTGCTCAGGGAGTGCTTAGGAGAACCAAGGGTCTTTCCCATGTGTCCAGTTGTGTTACCACTGTGTCACCACCAGCTAAGCCCCAGTATGTGAATTTCGATTCATTTTTTAATAAAAGTGAGCAAGCTGTATCTTCCACATAATGTTTAGTTTTTTTTTTTTCTGTTTAGTTTTTGCTATAGGACATGTGCACTCACCAAAGAAAGTGAGAAACAGAGAGAGGCAGGGAAACTGAGAAATCACCTCCCAAAGGGGACGGCCACACAACAATCCCCTCTCCTCCATTCTCTCAGGATTTGGGGCACACATGCACCTGGTATGTTTTTCAAGCCACCAAGGCCAGGACTCGAACCATAATGTTGGCAATGTGAGATTCAGCCAACCTACCCACCAGGTTACCAGCTGGTTCAACAAAACAAGACTTCTACAACGCTTATGTGAAAGTTCTTGCCCACTCTGGCTTGCTCCAAGTCTTTCATCTGATTAACTGGGTTTTTATCACCACGTCTTGAATGCCACAGGCATATACTGTATGCTGTGTCTATGTCAATTCTCAGCTGTACCTTTGTGCGAGATGTGGATTTAGCTCCCAATCGCCCCAGCCTCCCAGCACAGGTGTGTCATGAATTATAGATAGACACTCGGTGATTCGCTGTTAAGATGATATAGCTAAACAATATCTTAAACTGCAAAATCTTCTGTCCCTGCCTCCCACCCCCATATAACAACTGTCTTGTCTCTTGTGCTCAGTTTTCCACGAACTCAGCACTAATCTATCCCGACCTCCACCACCCACCTCCTGGAGATGTTGATACCCCTGAGACATTCTGTGCATATCCCATCTGCCTACAGGAGTTGCTTGATTCTTTCAACCTCCCCAATAGGGACTAGATGCCTGTGCCATCCAGTGGTGGCTATTGGCCAACGATTCCCCTCCACAAACACCATGTGTTCTTTGCCCTGCAAAAAATCTTATTCCCAGAAACCACATCTTTTGTGTCATAAGAACCTTCATCTGAGGTATTTGACAAAATTTTGCTTTACCCCAAATGTGGCATTTACTCATGTGACAACCAAGGACCAAAACTTCTAAGCTCTGTTGGTAACTCACTTTCTGAGCTTTTTCCTAGGAAGCAGAACCCCTTGGCAATGCAGCAGCCCATGCTGCACCTGCGTCTCCAACTTTTTGCTGCCCAATTGCTGGGACCCCTTTCAACACCTATCCAGACCTGGACCTGCTAAAACCACCCTCTCCACTCCTGTTCCTCACCACTCACACCACCAGACCACCTGGCTCTGGTTAGACCTTGACCAGACAAGTGTACTCTTGCTTTGGGGCACGTCCTCCTTACCCGCCACCCCAGTCTCACCTGGTCACCCACTTTGTGGGCAATGGTGGTGGCTCCTTCCTCGAGTTCTGCGTCATTGAGTGGACGGATTCGAAGTGCTACCTGTGGGCAAGACACCTGAGGAGCTGTTTCCAAGGCACCCCTCTGAGGTTGCTCCCTCTGCATCCTTTAACACCCAGATCCCCAGTTCAAACTTTTGATCCTTGTTCTTCTTCCCTTCCAGTGATCTTCCCACTCTTGGTGAAGCAGTGAAGTTGGCCATGAAGCCTCAGTGCTCCTCAATCCCCAGGCTGTTCTGACCTTAACACATTAGGTTGAGGCTCCAAGTAATCCTGAGTCATGCGTGATTAGTTACCTTTGTTGAACAGGTGGGAAGACTGAGGCACAGAGGGTAAAATAACTTGCCCAAGGTCAGACAGCTGAAGAAACTTACTTCACCACCAGTTTACTCTCCACCGAAAAGGGTGCAAACTGAGCCCTGGCTCTGAAAAGAAACTTTGGCAAGTGGAAACCCATGGGCCTTGCCTGTCTGGGCACTCTGTCTGCTCTTCCTTTCTGAGGGAGACCCACTGCAGGCTCTGTAATCATGACCTCAGGTCTCAAATCTACCATAACAACAGATGGGCTATGGCTCCCTGTGAATTTGTGATCCTTCCAAAAAACAGGGAAGTTCCTCTAGTAGAGGAATTATAGTTCTCCCTAAGGGGAAACTGGCTGGGTTGTCTTTAACCAGTCTATAGGTTTGGGGCAAGTTCCTGGTATCAGTTCACCCTACTGTCAAACAGGATGAGTTTCCAATTCACCCAACAGATGGGCCTGATTTGGGACCAAGGTAGGAGCAGAGAGCCCACCAGTCCCCACCTGCAGTCTAGTCCATGTCTTGAGCTCTCTGGAGGAGCCAGAGAAGGGGTGAGAGGGATGTCTGGAGGCTTGGGGTGAGCAGAGTTGGGAAGGGAAGCCGCCTAGATCCCTGGGAAGGAAAACTGGATAGCAGAGGTGGGGCCCTGTGGCTGGGGCTGTTGTGAGGACAGGAAGACAGCAGGCATGGACATGTGCAACTGGGGCCAGTTGGGTCTGCAAGGGAGGGGGCTCACCACAAGTGGCTGGTCCTTGGGCTCCATCTCCCTCAAGGCAGGGCTGCCCTGGGCCGGAGAGGGGCCAGTGCCCTGGTTGAAAGGCATGTGGCTTGCAGGGATGTGTTCCTTGCCTTCCTGGGGAGACAAGGAGACCTGTCTGTGCTCAGCCCTGCCCCAGCCAGGTGACATCAGCTGGATCCCAGGAGGACGGGGCTGGCACCACCCTCTGGAGCTTACAAGGCTGGCCTCACCCCTTTTTCTCTGTAGCCAGGGCAGCCCACGTCCCAGGTGGGCTCTGGGTAGCAGGGCAGTTCTGAGTCATCTGTACGAGCGGCTGGTGCCAGAGCCACACCAGGGTGGCTCTTCTGTCTCTGCACTCACTCACTGCACAGCAACACACCTCACTTGGTCTACAGGGAGCCTGAGTCCTGTTCAGGATAGCAGAGGGGCATCTGTTCTTTGCAGGGGGTCCCCCCAATAATCCTTCATCCCAGGAGCAGCCCATCTACCCTAATGACTCCCTCATGCAGAGGTCAGTATGGCCTTGGAACTTTTACACCAAAGGGAATAAACACCAATAGTAAAATTTAACTTCAACTGCAAATGCCTTTGTAAAAAAATGAATTTCTAAACTAACCTTGAAATGATCCTGAAGTTTTTGATACATTAGGGCATGGCTTCCAGCTCCTTTCCCCTCACTGCCAGTCTGTGCTGTACCCAGGGCCTGGTTGATTAAAGATCAGGCATATTTACTGCTTAAATGCTGTGCTCAATTTTTCCACTGTAACCTCCAGGGAAGTCACTGCACTGTGAACTTACCCAGCCAAGGTAGGCTGTTACCTGCCAGGCTATGCAGCTAATGTCCTTGTGAAGAGCCAGGGTTGGTGGTAAAAACAGGAATTCCTCCTGCATTTTGACAGAATACATACGAAGATTGGATTTCCATTAAGTTCAAATCTATGAAGTCCAACTTAATGTTTGAACTAGAGCTGAAAGGTGCCCAGGGGTCATTCACACCAGGGTGGAGGCTTAGCCTGGGGTTGACTCCCTTGATATCACCAGGAGCTCCCCAGTCTGCCCAACAGTCCTCTCTGCGCTTTTCTTAAGCCAACTTCTGGACAGTCAAGCCACAGCAACTATGTTGGCCACCTCCTCCTGGTTGTCCTAGGTTCACCTTGGGCTCCAGGAACTCCTAGCCTGGATAAGAGGAAGGACAGCACTACTCTCATATCTAGTGCCCCTTCCACTAAAGGGACTGACTACACGGCTCTTCTTCTGACTCACAAGGAGCATGCTAGAGAATCTGCTGGTGGTCTGTGCAACCCAGCACTCACCTTTGACTGCCTCTGGCCTCCTGGGAGCATGACCATGGCCTGCAGAGGGCCTCAGGCCCAACCTGTTGCCCCTGAACCTGTGAGCAGTGGGAACACCAAACTCCTGTGTCCCTCCACCCACAACAGGCTGGGTACGTACTTCCTCTGCAAAATGCTAGCCCTGGGAAATCCATTACTACAGCAGAAGAGAGTTAAAGCAAGCACAAACATTTCAGAAATTCTTTTATTTACAAATTATGTAAAACAATTACAACTAATAAGTTTAAAACAGTGAAAAGTTCATTTTCTGAAAGCTCTGTTAAAAATCTGTTAATGATAGAACTGTGTGCCTCTTTTGTTACTGCCATGAAATTAGAGAAATTGTCTTGGCACATTAGGGTTTAGAGAACTTGACAGTAAATGAGAACTATAAAAAATGTGCACCACAGGGGCACAGGATGAGCTAAATGCCGAGGCTAAAACAATAATAGAATTTTAGATAAACCACAGATGATAAGAGAAATTTAAGGCTCATGAAAAAGGAAAAGCACTAAGTGCTTCCTTACACCTGGGAAAACCCAGAGTCAAGTGGAGGCCCTTGTGAGGACAAGCCCACACGAGGCAGGCAGCCTTCAAGACCCAGGAGGGGCAACGTGGAATCCCAAAGATCAATCGTGATTTCAACAGAAGCTGACCTAGCTTCTCCAGGACAGGGGGCACTGTGACTCTGTCCTAGGCCCTATCCATGACAGCTTATCTTCTGTTGACCGAGGTTTGCACAGGTCCTGTGGCTGTGACTGTGTGCCCGTTCTGTGCTTCTCTGCTTTGAAACTCAGCTTCAGGTTCCATGAGATAAAAGAAAAAGGTGGAAGAAACAGTAATTTCACAAGGCACTGATGGGTGGCAAGATACTACAAATAAAAAGGATCAAAATCACAAGGATTTGTTCACTCCCTTCTCAATAGGAAAAATAAAATTAAATATTCAAAGAGGACCACATAACAGTGGCTAAAATGACAACTTTTAGTACAAATTTTCCAATCTAACTCCAAGGAAAAGCCTAAGGGTTCTTTCTCTTCAGGTGAAATGATAAGCTCTTTTCCCCAGAAAACAACAGTCAAGGAAACTGTTTTGGGCTGACACGTGTCTGAAAGTCAGCAGGGCAGACACCAGGTATCTGTCCTCCCCTCTGAGTCAAGTATGTATGTAATGACCGACCATGAGGATACCCAATGGAGGCCAGGTTTGGCAAGCAGGCCTGTCCCCTGGGGAAGGAGACAGAGGCACCAAGTCCAAGGCCACTATCTACGTCAAAGAGAGGAGAAAGACAGCTTTTTCATACAGGTTTGCTTTTATTTCCATGTTCAACCTGTTGAGAGAACCTGCCACAACCTGAATGGTGGGGGTCCGAGGTGCTGTGGCGCCTCCTGAGCACGCTGGACAAGTGCAGTGCTTCCCTGCTGATCTCCAGGACACATCCACACTGGCCCGTGCAGGGGAACATCGTTCAGCTGTGGCTGGAACACCTCAGAGATACCACTGACAACAGGAGTGCACAGGTGCCTGCTGGGAGCACTGCATAGAAGAGTCTAAGTAGCAAATACTGGTGGTATTGATTAAAAAAAACCCAAACAAGAAAAAAATAGAAAGCAGTGCCTTCAAATCTCCCCCACTGTGTACACCAGGGGTTTAAAGGCACAAAAATGTGTCGAGATGGAAGAATCCTGGGTGCATTCACAGTCCAGAGCAAGAGAAAGCACAGGTAGAAATTCAGGATTGTGCAGGCTTTCTGCAAAAGGATGACTTCAGTTCCAGCACAAGACAAACGACGCTGTAACAAAGGAACACTGTTTACTCTGTTTGCAACTTACGGAACTATGGCAAGAATTATGCCTGACTTCACAAATACTTCATAAATACTTTAATAACTGCTTATAAAGTTATAAACACTAATTTCATAGTATATAATAAATACAAATGATTTATTAGAATTTATGATTTTATGAGGCCAGTCTATAGTCTATGCCTAGGGAACTAACTGCATATCACATGATAGATTATGGTTTGTTTTCTTTTCTTTTTTTTTTTGAGAGTTTTTTGCTATAGGGCACATGCACTTGTCAGAAAGACAGAGAGACAGAAAGCAAGAAATCACCCTCCGGGGGGTGGCCATGCCACAATCCGTTCTCCTCCATTCTCCTCTCGGCATCTTGGGCATGCATGCATATGTGCCTGGCATGAATTTAAGCCCCCGGGAACGGGATTTGAACCCCGGTTGACTACATGGGAGTCCAGCGATGTAGCCATTACGCCATCTGGTCCCATAGATTACGGTTTGAATCCAAGCCCCAGAAGCTTGAAAAACACACCAGCTACATGTGCCCCAAATCCTGATGGGATGGAAGAATGAGAAAATAGAAATGCAATGTGACCACATACCATTTAGGTGGATGGAGTAGGGGAGGGGAGGTGTTCTCTCTTTCATTCATATACTCTCTAACAATTTTTAAAAATATGTATAATTTCCAGTCCATTCAATAGGAACAGGTTTCAAACAACACACAAGCACCCCCAAAGCCACAGAGCAGTTTAAACCTTTTGCCCACATAGTTCACTTTGTAAGGTATGGAACCTTGAGACCCTTCCCTCCTCGCTACTGAAAATGCCCTGAATACTCAGCAGGGCTCTGTGCTCTCTGCTTCACCTTACCCAACTGCCAAGGCTCCTGTCTTAGACTAAGGGTCACAGCTGCTATGCACAGCCTTCCTTCCTGGTGGACACATGGTGGCTACCCTCCAGCAAAGACCTCTAGAGATGGGTAGGTGCTGGCTCCCTTTTCCTCCCGGGCAGGCACTTCACATCAATTTCCCCTCAATGAACTCTGCTCTCACCAAGGCCAGGTCTGCACCTGCTCTTCACTTCTCATACATGACATTTACTATGCCTGGTGACTGAAAGCAGATTTTCACTTACACCTTCAACAAGCTACTTTTTTTCCCCTAAAGAATTATTTTATTTTCACTTTCTTTATTTTTAATTTGATTAGAGAGGGACAGAGCAAGAACAAGACAGAGAGAGAGGGTAAGTGAGAAAGCAAGGCTCTAGGACTAGAACTCGAACTGGGGTCAGCCATGTGGGAGTCCAGCATCCTTAACCGCCATGCCACAATAACGGCCCCATGAACAAGCTACTTTCTAATTTATGATAATGCAGAGGAGTAAGAAAAAGCAGCCAACATGACCTTGATCACTCCCTGTCTGAAGAGGAACTTACCACAGTGCTCTCAGGTCACTCCTGAGTCCCAAGAGGAATGATTTCTTCAGTGACAAAGAACTCGATGGTCTCCTCCTCCCAGTCATCCACGTTGCTGTCCAATTCATCAGTGTCCACCCCTGAAAGGACAAAGTGCAAGTCACCACAGAGGTACTGAACACAGTGATACCGTGCTGCAGCTCACACCTGTGAGTACACACACACACAGAGTCAAAAGTATGGCTGAACACACAGACCTTTGCTGAGGGATATGGACTTTTGCCTTATGGCAGCCATTGTATAATTTACCTCCTCGTAATTCTAGACGTTCGTTTTTCTGCTCCATATAGAGCTCCTGGGCCATTTTCCGGTATTTTCGGAAATCTTCCATCATGGTTCGCCTCCTCTCCACCAATTCCTATTTGTAAAGTTAGAGGGAAGTTACAGAAGTAATACTTAATTCACCATCATGATGTTTTCATTTAAGTGAAGTGAAAACATTTTGCCCCAAGTTACCCACTCCCATCAGATGCTGTCAGAACTATTTATGTAGAGAATTCCAGGCTGAGAAGAGTTCCCTGCATCTTCATTTTTCTTCCTGGGATACCACCCCACCGCCCCTGACTGGAGAGCCAGCCCTCAGCAGGACTGTAGTCAGGCTGTAGGCACCACATGTCCACAGGCACAAAGTGCCCTGCTCTGTTCACAGGGCATGCAGGAAGACAAGCCAGGGTCTTGAGGACAGAAGTTCTCTCCCACCTTCTCCCTGAGCAGACATATGACACACCCTCCTCCTCAGACAACTCTGGTCCTTCTTTGCTCTGACAGGGGACTGTGGCTATCTTTAGCATTTCCCTCAGTTTTAGAAACAAGGCTAACCTTTGAGGCTTTGGACTGGCTCAAACGGTCCTTCTGTTCAAAGATCTTAGAGTATTTCTTCAGATCCTTTTTAATTTGCTGAAACAAAAGACAAGTCACTCAGGATTTCACATTCAAAGCAAGAACCACAACGCAATCTTCAAAGTTGCCAACATGAAATGACATCCTTAATGATTAATAGAGTACAGCTCCCTGGGAGCTCTCAAACACATTATCTCTTTTCCAAGTTCCACTTTATCAAGACTGACGTTCTTTCCTGGGATTTACAGTCCTCTTAGCTTTGACCTAATACCATCAGCCTATCTCACCGTAATTATGTAAATCCCGACGTGGCTCTACTAATCCTGCTAGGACTTCAGGACTTAACAGTCCTTGGCATCTTTTCACCCTCCCCTTTAGTTTGTCCCCTTCCTTTAACACCTGAAACTTTATGATCCAAAAACTCTTCTCTTCCACTCAGTTTTCACT